GGAACGTTGGAGTCCTCCATCACTGAAGCAAGCAAGCCTCATGTTAGTTTCAAGCTGCCTGGCTGCCAGCTGCCATCTTGGCTGACAGTTAATTTGCATATCTCGCTGATTAGCCAATGAAAAGGGTAGCAGTCGTACGCCAATTACCATGTTTCTCTTATTAGTGTAGATGTGAATAAAAGTTATCTTTAGAATGTCTACACCCACATTGAACAGGAGAAATGCCTTAACAATGAGTGAGAGCATGGAATGTTGACCTGTTAGGAACTCTCTACAAATGTCAAATGCATGGGCCTAGTGACTAATTTGTCCAGCATGAATATTATATTTTTCCTAATGGTTTTCAAAATGATGAAGTGTCACTTTTGTTTACAACATGCATTTACTGTCATTCATCTCAATAAATGGCCTGTGCAGATGATTAACATTTACAACTCTAGGTATCTCTTTGCTCATTTATATCTTCTTAAATATTAACTTCCCTTTTAAATCTGCTTAATGTATAGAGACATACTGTTGCCCTTTGGGCGCGCACAAAGGCGTTTACACTGACTAGTGAGACTAGTGTTGACTTTCGCTGTTGCTTTCCAAATCTTCTTTGAAAACTTAGATTTTCCTCTTCAGTGGGTGCAAGTTTTTATATTCTCTCACAGTGTTCAGATGAGCGTTTCTTCAAAAGCCAAAAATGGTGTCAAAGAGAAGCGCACCTTCCAGGCATCGTCCTCTCAGCGCCTATGAAGTCACGTTTGCAGTGCTCTTTGCCGTTTTGCTGCTTCTCTGTGCTGGGTTAATTGCAGTGTCCTGGCTGGCAATCAAGGAATCAGAAAAAGGTGAGTCCCTGGGAGCTGGCTACTGAAGGCACTCTGAGAGGCATGTACCCGCTTTAATCGCGTTATCCTGTCAGGACCTTGTATTCATTGCTGAGTCTTTCATGACAAGGTATTTATTTGGTATTCAGATGCTTTGCTATGGTTCACTTCGTAGAATATTAGAAAAATTAGTTGGTCTTTAATTAAAAACTTACCTCAGAATTCAAACATGAAACTAAAGTTTTTAAATGAAAAAATGTTAAGTATGTTTCTCAGTTTCAACATATAACAAAGTAGGTTTTATAGCCTGTGGGTTAATTCTGATAGGATTTCGATCACAAACATATGAAGTGTTGTTGACTGTACAAATTGATAAATAGTTAAAGAAAAGGACTATTTATTTCTAGAGAATGATATATTCATTCTCTTTTTAAGCTAACAATTTTCATTGCAATCATATAAGGGAATGTGAATGTAAATGTAGAATTATAAAGTTCTGAAGCTGCCTGAGTAGCAAACTGTGATAAACAGGAAAAAAATAAGAAGTGGTAACTACTATTCAGAGTGAAATTATATGCACCAACAACCTTTCAAGGATCTCCAAATGTATTGTCATTACAACAAACCTACAAGTTACCTTCATTTTAAAGGTGATGAATCAGAGACAGAGAATTTAGGTAACTTGATTAAATTTGCATCATTACCGGGTAGTGGAAGATTCCAAACTAGACAATCCAATTCTAGGACTTATGCTCTTATATACTATTTACTCATTTATACAGTAAACTCTAAAATAGTGACAGCACAGCAATAATCTGAGTATGGGATTCATTTTTTTCTGAGAAAATTTTTATAGTTTTTAAATTATGAATTACTGTATATATGATGATATTAATTCTTTTTGAAAACTCACAAAGGTAAAAACCTTTTCATGTGAGTGATTTTGATTTTACTAAGAAAATTCTCAGTCTTTGAGTAGCTTTTTTCCTCTAGTACAGTGGTCGTCAAACTGTGGCTCGCGAGCCACATGTGGCTCTTTGGCTCCTTGAGTGTGGCTCTTTCACAAAATACCACGTGCAGGTGCGCGCGTACAGTGCAATTGAAACTTTGTGGCCCATGCACAGAAATACATTCCAGTATTTTGTGGAAGAGCCACACTCAAGGAGCCAAAGAGCCGCACGTGGCTCGTGAGCCGCAGTTTGCAGACCACTGCTCTAGTAGATAAGTTTAAATAAGAATTTTATAAATATAATTTGTAGTTTTACAAAATAATTCCAATATAATCTCTCATTTATTTAAATACTATAGTCATATATGAGGGATTTTTTTTTAAATGAAAGAAGTCATGGATATTTTATATGATTATATGAACAATTAAATAAAGTATAGAAGTTCTCTTAGACTTATAGAAAAGCAGCTACTTTGGTCTTACTTAAACACTGTGAGTAACTTCAAGGATATACTAGTATAATCATTTGGAAGTCCACTGGACTCTTAGATCTCAATAAAGAAGCAAAAATAAGTTATATTACAAGTAAAATAGAAAATAAATATTTATAAATATAAACATGATTTATAGTGAACAACTTGCATAAAAGGATTTGAGTTATATCTACAGTAAAGCAGAAGATGACATAAGACATACTGCTTTCAATATACATTGTTTTGCTTTTAATTGGAGATCATTTTAGAGTTAAAAAAAAAAGAGTGTGAAATGGTTGAGTTTATATAACCATTGCTCAGCTTCCCCCAATGTCAATATCTTGTATACTAGCATACATAGCACAATTGTCATGGCCAAGAAATTAACATTGGTACAATTATTAACCGAACTGCACATTTCATTTAAATTCCATAGTTTTTTTTTTCCATTAATGTCCTTTATCTGTTGAGGATCCAGTGAAGACTCCTACATAAGATTTAATGATCATGCTTCCTCAGTCTCTGATTCATGACTTATTTTCTTGTCTCAGTTTTTCCTTGTCTCTCACATTTAAACATGCAAATCCAAATGTAATTTTGAGTATTAAAAAAACAAAGGAGTATAAATAATGTGTTGCATCAATTATGAAATTATAACTATTTAAACTCAATGTACATTTATTATTTGAAATACTATTTCTAGTGTTTCTTCTGAACTGGGAAATTTGTTGTAAATAAATGATAGATTCTGGCTTCTAGAGTCATCCAATTCTGTGCCCCAATTCCATATCTGTCACTTATGACCTCTATTGGTCTGGGAATTTTTCTTAGTCAATCTAACCTCCAGTTTTATCATCAGGGAAAAGAAGAAATAACATCTTGTCATACCAGATCAATGTGAGAATTATATATCATTGTTATTACATGTATAATGATCTCATTGTTGTGTAAGTTTTAATTGAAATGATTCATTTTAAATATGAATATATAGCAAAGGAAGTATTCTGATAAAGGCATTACACGGGACACTTTTAATTAAACATTTTTAATGTTGACATTATTGTAGGTGTCCTCCTTTTGCCCCCTTTGCCACATCCACCTTCCCACACCTTCCCCTCCCTTGGCCTTCCCCACACTATTGCCCATGTCCATGAGATATGCAGATAAGTTCTTAGCTAATCTCTTCACCTTCCTTATCCAGTCATCCCCACCCTCCTCCTCTCAGGTACCAGCCAGTATGTTCCATGTATCCATGTTTCTGGTTCCATTTTCATCAGTTTATTTTGTTCATTAGATTCCACATTTTAGTGAGATCATATGGTATTTGTCTTCTTCTGACTGGCTTATTTTACTTAGCATACTACTCTCTAGGTCGATCCATGCTGTCGCAAAGGTTAAGCATTCCTTCTTTTTTGCATCCACATAGTATTCCGCCGTGCAAATGAACTACAGCTTTTTTATCCACTCATTTGCTGATGGGCACTTGGCTGTTTCCTGATCTTGTTTATAATAAACAATACTGCTATAAACATAAGGATGATTATATTCTTTCTGATTGGTGTTTTGGGATTCTGAGGCTATATTCCCAGAAGTGGGATCACTAGGTAAAAGGTAGCTTCATTTTTAATTTTTGGAGGAATCTCCATGTTGTTCTCCACAGTGGCTATACCAATCTGCATTCCCACCAACAGTGAATGAGGGTTCCCTTTTCTCCACGTCCTCGCCTACACTTGTTGGTTGATTTATTGATGATAGCCATTCTGACAGGTGTGAGATGGTACCTCATTTTTATTTTTATTTGCATCTCTCAGATGATTAATGACCTTGAGCGTCATTACATGTGTCTATTGGCCAGTAATGCAGGTCTTAATGGTACATTTCAGTACCCATGTTTATATTCAATTTGTTAGCTTTAATTCCTTACACTTTTAAATGTTGAGATAATATATTTTCTTCAGCTTTCTCAATAACTTCCCTAATAACAACATTCACCATTTAATGGCAAAAGGTCACACATGCCCATTTTGTAATTATTAGAATGAAAGAAGGAGCTTCAAAGCTGTGTTTCAAAGTAGCTCACACAGAAATATGCGCAGCAGTCCTCAAGCAGAAGCCAGCAGTGACCCTGGATGCCAGGTGTTCAAGAAATAACTGAAAGCAGCTACAAAACTTTTAATGGTCCAGCTCTCACCATGTGTCCCTGAATCCGTATCATAATTGGTGGAAGCTGATCATCCCTGTATTTTCCAACAGGAATCTCAATAGCAGGAAAAACAAAAACAAAAAAACTTGGATGCATGGAGTATGGGTTAGGCTTCAAAGAATGCAAAAATAAATAAATAAATAGGGCAGACAAGAAGTTTAATATTTAATCTTTTAAAACAACCAGATAGGAGGGTAAAAAGGAGCTGATTGTGACACATGAAGGCTGCAAAGTAAACCAGAAAAACTACAGCACAAACACATCAAGCAAGAACTTTATGTCTTAACTAGGATACAAATACCCTCTTATAATTCACGTGTTAAGTGTTTTATTTCTTACCGATTTATTTAGATGCAGTGTTTGGAAACAGTTATGAAGCCAGAGGGACCCTGAAAATAACATCAGGAGCTACATATAATCCTAATTTGCAAGACAAACTCTCAGCGGATTTCAAAGTTCTTGCTTTTGACCTTCAGCAAATGGTAGGAGACTGTCTCTCTTCAGCTGGTTTAAAATTTCATAACATAGTTTCACTAACTACTTGCCAAAGGATACATAGATCCTGCTTTCTTGCTTTGAAAGAAATTAGTAAATGAATGTCATATGCCCAGGATGCTTAAATGTATGAGCCTCGTCACTACAGAGAAGGAAATGACCCCTAATCCAGTTCTAAGCAGAACTTAAATATTACTATTGAAATGTTGAAACAAAAGTTCAAATCTTAAATTTAATATATTTTTAAACCCTTTCTCTTTTTAGATAGATGACATCTTTCAATCCAGTAATCTGAAAAATGAATATAAAAACTCAAGAGTTTCACGATTTGAGTGAGTACAGCTCAAAATTTTTCTGTTGGTAGAAAAGGGAGCACAGCATCACAAAATAATGATCTATTTGTTAGTATTTGTAAAATAACGTCACTCCTTTTAGGAGAAAAGGGAATAATTTAAACTGTCAACATTGTTATGAGGATTGATAAACTTTCATATTCGTAGCACATAATAATAATTACTGAATAATTGATCTTACATTAATATGTTTCTCCCTCCTGAGGGTGAAATCTGCAGAGACACAGGGAGGCGGCTGAGGTGAACGTGTGCAGATACAAATACAGTATCTGGTTTGCTATGAACAGATGGAGGAAGCTTGCTTATTACACTTCATTTACATGTTAAGTCATAAGCGAGAAGGGACCTGTTTAGTTGTGCCCAGAGAACATAAGCCTGTACCTAGAATATAGTAAGTGCTCAATATGTGAATGAATCTTCGATGAATAGGATCATGACATAATTCTTCTATGGATACTTGTATCAGGAGTTTTCTTCACTGCAAACTACCAAAAGGCCTGAGGAATAAGAATATGAACCAGTTAGGAAATTGTGATGCCAGTTAGAATCTATGAAACTAAGTGAATAGGGAAAAAGTCAAAGAGAGGGAGTTTCATTTAAAAAAAAAATAGAGGAAACTTCTCTTTTCTGCAGAAATGGGAAACAAGCAACGAAAGCCAAGCGGAGCCTCGGGGAACCTGACTTATGCCCTTTAAACATTTAAGTAAGCCGGGCCGATGGCAGTACACCTGAGTTAGAAATGTCCACCTCACATATTCTTCCACATGGAGGTAAATAAGTGTTAGCTTCAGGGCTGCTGGTGCCCTGCAATTGAGAGTAATTATCACAGTCAGGGAAGACAGTCAATGAGAAACCTCCAAGCCTACAACTTCAAATGAAATCACAATGGAAGAGTGCTAGACCAGAAAGCAGTGGCCTCATTGTACGTTTTCATGACAACTCAGTCACTGCCTATAAAATGTGAATAGCCACTCATTTTATTTTTATTCACATATCATTTAATACATGTGCATCATTATAATGTGCTGGCTAATGTTACTAGGCAGCTATGTAAACAGAGGTGGGCAAAAGTGGGTTTATAGTGGTTTGTATGGAAAGAGACATGCAGGTTATGATTATTATAATAGTTTTATTTACTCAAAAGAATGTCACAATGTAACCGTAACCCTCCTTTTGCCCATCCCTGTACAGTGTGTGTTGTAGGAATGCAAGAGAAAGAAAGGTTTTAAAGGACATAGTCTAGCACAGGGGTGGGCAACCTTTTTGTGAGTGCGTGCCAAAACCAGCAAAATCTCTGACTCAAAATACTTCTGTGCGCCAACCCTAATTTTTTGAGAGCATGTTATGCCTACTTGATGTCTCTTAAGATGTACGTATGTGAAGAACCTTGAAGAAATAATAAAATTCATTCGAGCAACAAAAACACAGTATATGATGATGAAAAATACATTTATTTTTAATAGGAATGCAGGGAGAGTTAAGGCAGAGGCATAGAAATTGCTCTTCCCCTCTTTCGTCAACCCATGTCTATGGTCTTCACGATAACTTGTTATGTAAAATTATTTACTTATCTAAGATGCACCTATACTGAATTGATCTGAAAAATAAAAATGTCAATATTAAGAAAAAAATTGTAAATGGAAGATTATAAGAGAGGGTTTCGCGTGCCGGCAAAAGTTACTGGCGTGTCATGTTTGGCACGCGTGCCAGGGGTTGCCCACCTCTGGTCTAGCATTTGTTTGCCTGCTTTGGCCTGGAATATCCACAGCCTCAGAAGGAAGTTCACCCTCATCCAACAAAAGAAAGAGATTCAGCCATATCTGATTTGGCTCAGCGGATAGAACATAGGCCTATGGACTGAAGGGTCCCAGGTTCGATTCCCAGTCAGGGCACATGCCTGGATTGCAGGTGATCCCCAGTAGGGGGTGTGCAGGAGGCACCCAATCAATGATTCTCTCTCATCATTGATTTTTCTATCTCTCTCTCCCTCTCCCTTTCTCTCTGAAATCAATACAAATATATTTTTTAAAAAAGAAAGAGATTCATCCTTTTTAAAACAGTTCCCTCATGTAAAGATATCTGAAAAAATTAGGAATCCATTTCCAAGGTCACTGTGAACATCATTATTATTTTTTCTTTATAACTTCAGTTGCTAAAAAATTAGTTCATATTCTCAATGAAGTCTGTATTTCCTTAGTTCTTACCCACTGATCTTAGTGGTAGTTATTAATATTTTATAGAATAAATGTTCATATCTCAGTCTTTCAAATACCTGAAGACTATTTCCAGAGTTGTTACACTAAAAGAAGGTACTCTCTCGGGTTTTGCCTCAGAAACTCACTCTCGCCTTCTATTTCTCCTCCTGTCCCCACCACCCATCCACCGCCACCCTGCCACAAGGGGTTTTAACAGCAGTCCTGCCATATTACCTGTACACCCTCAAAAGCATCCTGCTTCCTTCTTCACTGCCTGGACCTCATTTCTTCCTTGTTATCTATTGCATTATCCTTAGGATTCATCCTTATATGCCATTAAGAACCAGTCCATGTTGCCTCCTCAGGGGGTGCCCACCTGCCAATCTAGTCCTAGTTAGCACCTCGTACCTACAGATAAAGTAACAATCCTCATACTGTAATGCAATTGTCAGTTTGCCTGTCATCTTACTAGACTGTGAGCTCCCTCGGGGCATAGAATGTGTCCTTGACATCTGTATTTTCAGAATCAAGTTAATGTCTGGCTCAGAGTATGGGCCCTATAAAGTCCTAGCAAATGAATGAGCCATTTCTTTAACACCTGGGTTTGATATAGTGAGTCCTAGGTTAGGTGTTACATGTTTTCCTTTGATCTGTGTTTTAAAGATATAAAAATCAGCATACAATACTCTTACTTTGGCTTTTACTTTCTGTTAGAATAGAATTTTAATGAAAAAATAATTCTAAACTAGTTCTCATTGTATATCCACGACATCTCAATGCAGTAGCCAGCCAGCCCTATCCCCACCTACTGTCTCCATTCCTATCTGCAATCCAAGGCTTCTGCTCCTGTTTGCCAGGCTTATTATCGCTGATAGCAGCCTGTTTTATTGGCCCCCGGTCAAGGCTAGGAGGAGACACGTGGACTCTCAGGAAAGGGGAACTTCTCTTCCTGAAAGTGCTATTTTTTTCTTAATATTTATTCAATATTTATTCTGTGAGGGTGAAAGCATGCATGCAAGATTTTTTTTAAAAAAACTTGAAGCTATTGGCCTACTTTGAAGTGAATGGAACTAATGTCTCTTTTCCAGTTTTGTAGAGGACTGAGTGTGGAGATCTGCATTAAACCACCAACTCGGGCTTATTTCTCGAGTGTGAATGCTCCCGGAGGAGAGGTGTCTCAGGCACTGGCCTCTCCTTCCCTGGGTTCTGCCCAGTGGAATCTGTACGGAGCATGATCTCCACCGCAGAGCTCCCTGGGACAGTTCCCTGAATGGGACTTTTCATTTCACATGTCATCATGTGCTGGGTAACTTTGTCTTTGCTAGACTGAGAACATTTGCTGAGTACAGACTTTTATATATAGGCCTGGTGGGTTATCAAAACCCCAGCCTTTTCTTTAATATTTAATAAGTAATTTTTATATCTCTAAATGCTAAAGTCACTATGTTGGAAACTATATTGTTTCAGCTGAGGAATTTTTTTTCTCCTTCTTTATAGCTACCTAGGAGACCAATATAGTCCCTACACCTTGATACACATTTTGTAATGATTCTCAAATAATATACTTCATCCATGTAGAAATACCTCTTTGAGTTGTATATGAATGACTTTTAAAAGATGCAAAGACATTTTATGCAAATGTCTATAAGATAAATTGCAGGTCAGTACTTTTGGGAGCCTGAGAAAGATAGGGAA